AATAGTTTTTTACTTAGATTAAGTCGATATCTAATATAATAAGATATTAATATAATTTAGTTATAGTTTTTTTATAATTATAAAGATAAAAATATTAAATAAGTTATTAAAGATTAATTAAAGTAATTTAATTAATTAATTAATAAAATTTATATAAATATTAGTAATAATAATTATAAAAAAATAATAATAAAAGATTTATTAATTATTTAAATATATATATAAATAATATAGATTTTAATATATTTATATAAATTAATGATTAATATTATATCTATAAAGGCTATTAATTATTAATAAATATTTAAAATTATAATATAATAGTAATAAATATAGATATAAATAATAATAAGTCTTTATTTAACTAGAGTTATATTTAATAATATAAGATATTAATATAGCTTAGATAGACTTTTTTATTACTAATAATTATAGAAGTTCTAGATAACCTATAAGTTTAATTACTATAATTTAATAATACTAATAATAATAAAGTTAATTTTTATTTTAAAAAATATTATATTTATAATTTTGATTTTCTTTCTTTATTTAAGTAATTATTATATTTTATTTCTAATATATATATATATATAAAGATTTAATTTTTATATTTTTTAACTTAGCTTTTTAATATTATTTATCTTTAGTTAGATATAGTTTTTTCAAGTTATTCTCTTCTCTCTAGGGTAGTACGTCTTTTTTTGTCGTGCTACCTTTGGGTAGCCACTGTTGGTAGTCGAGGCAAGTGGCCCTCCCACATGTGATTAAAGCCAGAGCAGAGCCTCAGAACGGCATTGTCCTCTTCACCTGCGCTCTTTTAGCTAACAAACGAACATGTCGATCTCGAACGAGGCCCTACAAAAGGTATTGTGAAATGCCCTACAAAGACCTATAACCTTAGGGCAATACCCATATAGACATAGAATACCCAGGCTACACGCACGGCCGTGAACTGCACTGACGCGAACAACAATAGCTCGCTCACGAGATCGAGGCGCAGGCCGCCTCTGCACAGCAACAGATCGGCATTACACGCAGCCAAATCGCTAGCAAGCAGAGAGAGCAGCGTTTGGTGAAGCTCACGCTGAGTGAGCTCAGTAGCCTGCCTAAAAAGACTGTGGTATATGAAGGCATAGGAAAGATGTCAGTATACCTCGTTGATGCTACACCGATTCCCGAATCCTGCTAACTGGCAATACAGGTTTGCCGCCCTACCCTCAACTGAAATGGCACAAAAGCTTGAGGAGCAGACGAAAGACTTAGAGCGCGAAGTAGACAAGCTCAGACAAAGACTAGTCTACCTGGAAACAACACACAAAAATAGCCGCGATCATATTGAACAGATGCTACGCAAAGCCTGATTGACCATAACATCCTGCGACCAGGGTAGAGAAGTAAGGCGCCCGCCCTGAATTGGGTTGTTTCACCCTGGCTAATATTGAATGTTTGCCACGAACAGATGAGACATTTTCAATAGTAATAGACATCAGAAAGACGGACTCTTAATAGACGAATGCAGTCGCAACCGCTCCTTCTCTATCCGACTTGTTCGTTGCAATGACCCACACGGAACAGAGCACACTCTGATGTCGTGCCAGCATCCGTAAATATTACGCCCGATGTAGTACACGTGCCCGCACCCGTCGCTCCGCTAGGGTGCTGCAGGGCTAGGCGGCTACTATAGTTACATAGTTATAAATAGTTTTCTTTAATATAAAAGCTACTAAAAATCCTAAAATTACATTTCAGGTAATATTAAATATTTTAACTATTTTACTAGTTTAGAAGCTAAAATTTAGATTTTAAAAAATATTATTAAATTTTATAAAATATTATTATAAATTTAAATTTTTAAAACTAATAATATTTTTTATAAAATATATATATATAATAAAATTATATAAAAAATAGTATATATAATATAATAATTATTATATTAATAAACTTAATTTTCTTATTTTAAAAGTTTTTATTAGATTTAGAAAAATTAATAAATACTTTTTTTATTTTAAAAATATAGGGTTTTTATATCTTTTTAAATAATTTATAATTATTATTTTTTATTTTTTTTTACTTTAATAAATTAGATTTTTTAAGAAATTTAACTATTTATTTTTATTTTATATATAATATTATTAAATTTAATATAATTATTATTGTTTTCCTATTTTTTTTAGTAGTATCTAGTATATGTCTACGAGGCTATGGTGGCCACCTAGCCCTGCAGCACCCTAGCGGAGCGACGGGTGCGGGCACGTGTAGACTGCGAATGTTCATTTCGGCGAATGGAGTCACCGGGAGATTGCCTACCACGTCCTCAAGCGCCACGACAGATTATCTGCTATCGACAGTCAATCTGGGCTGCCAGGTCTCACGGAAAATGGTGTCCCTGCTACCGCCGGCAAGTGGTAAAAGGGGATGGATCGGGCTAAGGCCGCATCCTATCACGAGCCTCTAGATGACGAGTCTAAAGGTGTAGAGCAGTATACCCCTCAAGCGCCCAATAGACTCCTCTCTTGTTCTACTAACTTATTCTACGTCTCACAATAATACCGACGACCAAACCAGCTGGCGGGGATTACAGTGGCGGGGATTATCAGCACCCCCGCTTCAGCTGCTGAATGGTCAGACTAAGGCGACTGAAGTGCTTTTCTTATTTGAAAACTCCTTTCGCCCATTTCCCTCAGCCTGGCTAGCCTGTATACAACAAGGCAGTTTGCACAATCTATCACGGAAAACACATTCAACATGAGCCACTACTCGTACGACAAAGACGACCTGGATGTCCATATAAGCCGACGCCATTCTCCAGAGTCTTTTCGATATGTCAGCACAGCGCCACGACAATACTATTCTCCCTCGTACATTGTGCCTGACCAAGGCATGCATGTTATTGCGCGCAGTCGTTCCCGTGAACGGAGCAGCCCGCCCCAACCCGCTGGACCCGTCATTATCCAGAACAGAATCTACAATGAGATTTCTTCCGAAGATGAGTATGAGCCGTCTCGGCGACGCCGAGACCGGCGTCGCAACTACTCCCGCTCCCGCTCCCGCTCCCGCAGCCAATACATGACAACAGAAGACTGGAAGCTCGAATTGGACCGGCGCGAGATAGAGAGGCTCCGCATCGAGCAAGCGAAGGAGAAAGAATACCGCCGTACCAGCAAAGAACGGCGAAATGAGGAGGATTTGCGCCGGGCAAAAGGGGAGCTGGACGTGATTAAGCGGCGAGAGGCGCAGGCTGAAGAAGAGAAACGCATCAAGCGCGAGATAGAATTCAAGCGCCTGCGTGACGAGGAGCGTGCCACCGCAGAGAAGGAGACTCGGGATAGGGAAGCCAAGGCCGCTGTGGACAGATATAAAAAGGAAGAAGCAGATCGAAGAGAAAAGGACGAAAAGGAAAAAAGAACCGCTGAAAAGGAGTACCAGAGGCGTCTGCAGGAACAGCTACTTGCTTCCGGATTAAACGAAGAGGCTATCAATGCTATCATCAAAAAGGAGAAAGTCCCGGAAGCTAGAAATGAGCGAGCGACATACACTCGGATGCCCCGCAAACATCTGTCAATCGAGACTCTAAGAACTTTCAAGATTGAATATGACCTTGATTCTGCTGTGGGTATTATCGCAATATCAACCACAAAACGAGCATATTAGTACCTAAACATACACTGACTCACTAAGCAGGACCCCGCTGGGTTTGTCATCATTAAGCGACCAGTTCCCGAATGGGAGCAAGATCACTTCTGGAAGCACACTAAGTACATCCGTGAGAAGCGTCTTATTATCGAAGATAAGCGACAACACCACCGTCACAAGAGCGACATCGAACTTGTTGTTCGCAAGACAGAACGCAAGAGGAGCAAGTCACCTTCGCCGCTCATGCTGTGGGTTGCGGGAGGTCGACCGTGATTGAATAAGCTACAGAATATCGGAGGCGTATCTGATACTGGATCACGACAACACGATTATCGATTGAAGCATGAAGAGATGTATCTACTCTGTTCCTTGTTTTCTCCGTATGACTGTTTTATATGTTAGAATGGGATCTTCGAATTAATTCCTCATATAATGTCCATGCTAGAGCGGAGCTAAGGGCTTTGCGTCCCATGCGTAGACCTAAGCCGCACCATAGAGACCTAAAGCCATCCTCAGTAATCATCTTATACCAAGCTTGCAACATATTCCGATATCTTTGTGGCTGAAGCTGTATGCGCGTCTTTACTGCGTCAAATGGATTTGAAACGGCCGAGCATACTGCTCCAGCCAAGATCGCAGAGCTGAAATTGATGGAGCTTGCTAAGGGAGTGCCCATGACAGTTTTGGTATCCGAGTCTAAGTCAGTCTCGGCAAGAGACCCGAGATGAGATTTCAACTTTTCGTAGAAGAGCACATATAGGCCAGCGTACGGCGCATCGCGAATTGCGGTAGCACCAAGGCCAGAAAAGAAGCCGCGAAAGCCCTCCCGTCGTTGAATATCCATGGCCGCATTGAAAAGAGAGGGGTAGGAGTACAAGTTGGATTCGAACCGCACTTTGATGACAGTTAAAGGCATGAGAACGAAGCCTGCCCAAGTTCGCGCCACAGCCCCCGAGAGCAGATTTGTCGTGTTCGATAGCTTGGGTAATGCTGTGGAGCTAGCCATACTGCCTTGGCCAGACCCAGACTGCGCTACATATTGACGGATGGCGTTGAGTGTCGAGAAATATAGTGCAGAACCAAATCCTGTGCGAAGGGCCGAAGGAAGGGTGCCTCTCCACAGAGAGCGAAGCTGGTTAGGAGATTGACGTAGCTCTAGCCATGAGCTGTACAAAGACGCTTGACCTGACTGCTGCACTCTTGTCTTGAGAAGATCGAGAGGCTGGAGTATGATAGCAGTGGATATACCGGAACCTAGACCGGAAACAAAATGACGGCCTTGCACACGTTATCAGCATGCTATCGAGTAAAACAAGCGGGACAGGAGCGCGTGAGCCTACTGGAACTGGAGGATCTTGCCGCATCCATAGCGGATGATGTCTGGCTCATGATATTTTTTTTTTCAAAAGTCATCCTAAGTGTGATGCATGTCATATACTGAGTAGAGGATGAGTCGCCAGTGTTGCGCGTTCATTGTGGCATGTAAATTTGTACGCAAGAATGGTTTTTGCCAGCATTCTGGGCATAGTGCAGCGCAGACCCACACTTCTCGCAGCCTAGGCCGACATGCCCATAAACGTTGCTGGTGCCTTGTAGTCTGCAATAGCAGATTCAAGGCGACCAGCTAGTAATCGGTGTCGCTTAACAAGATCGAGCCATTCAGCTACGCCAATTGAAGGAATTAGCATGCCAAAATCGGCACCGAGTCTGCCCAAACTACCGGCACAGTACAGAACCTGCGTTAAGATGCTTTCTCGCGATGTTTGATCTTGGACTATAGGCAGGTATATGCGCAATGTTTCGAGCAGCATGCCGACAAGACGCACAGGGAAGGCAGATAGGATGGGAGTAAAAGAGTCGAAACTGTCGGAACTCGAGCCAGGCTGAGAGCTTGTGCCTCCGCCCACGTTTTTTGATATTGATATGATGCTGAAACTGTGTTCTCTGAAGATCTCAATGAATCTCTTCAAGAAACGCTCGGTATGCTGTCCACCGGACCAGGACTGACCTGCGCTAACCTGACGCTTGCGTTCTTCATCCGCTAGCTCTCTCAAGGGATTCAATGCTTCTAGAGTCGTAATGAGATTCGAGAAACGGCATATCAGGAATATAGCTGGCAAGGAGCCCTCTGCTGAGACGCTTGGGACCAGCTCAGGGAGAACCCGCTTCAGCCATCCCGTGGTACGAAGCGCCACCGCGAGTTTCAGATTGGAAGCCGTCAATGAACTGATAAGATCTATGGCGAGCTGACGAATTGAATCATCAGCCTGTAACTTGACAGACCTGACGAGCTCTGAATCCGGATAAAGAAACGAAAGCCGTCGGATATGGCCGTACAAATCCAGGCTCATCGAGTACCCAAGAGGATTGGCGTTGACAGCAGACAGCAGAAGGGCTGGCAGTTCCAGAAGGTCCACGATGCGATCTGAAGCCCCTATAAGATGCAGTGTCTCCTTTCGTTGAGTCAAGATCCGGCTACCGCTAGATTTGCTGAGTGATGCGGAAAAGCGTTCGGCTTCGGCGTCGAGTTGAGGTACAGCTGCGGTGAGCTCGCGCGCTTTCAAGTCGAAAATGCGTATTGTTTCTGGTAGAGAAGCATGGACAATTGCTGATTCAACCATAAATTTGCGGGATCGCTTTGACAGCGCCTGTATGGAACGCAGCATTGACTGTGAGCTCTGAGCGAGGGTCTGAGGCTCGGACGAGAGCGCTGACTGGAGAGAAAGTCCCGAAAGATACTCAAGGTAGTCCAGATCCACGGTCTGAGATAGACCGATGAGGTCTTTGAGTGCTTCAGCCATGACGCAGGATGTTCGACGCGGTAAGCTGTCGCGCTTGTGTGTAGATTTTGAAGTTTGAACATGGGCGCTGCTGTCAGTGTAGATGCCGCTAGCGAACCCCCCACTGACCAGAAGGAGGAAAGCAGTGCAGGGGTATGGGCAGACGAGCACAGCTTTTATTAATTACACCTGAAAAGATTGATTTACTTCGCTTTACTGGTACAATCTCCGTGATGTAGTATACGAATGGGTATTGCAGCTCGCTCATTAATCTTCGTTACGACGTGATGCTGACAAGCTATGCTAGGTAGACTTAGGTGCCTAGGTAGGCATCGCCGTCGCGGAGTTACAAGATGATTACAAGAAGCCATGCCGAACGATGCATCCCTCAAGCAACGTCACTAGCCAGTGAGCGAGTGTAAATACGACACAGTCCTCTTGACCAGGATGTGATCGGAGACAGAAGTTTCGGCGACCTCCTGACGGCTCCTGACGGAGTCTTGCGCGTACAATGAAAGTATCATATGTACTCTGCTGAAGAGGGATGACTTATCCACGTGAGCCGCCCCCAACGTTTCTTGGAAGCCCACCACCTCGGCCCACCAATTTCGGCTGCCCAGCTCGAGAACTAAAGTTATTACCTCCCTACCTACCTAGGTAGAGCTGGTAATCAATAGATATAGCTGTTTACTTGCAGCTCGGTGCTAACATATCCAGCCTTTTCCACCTAACTACCCAGACGGCACTTCTGCAACGCCCACACTCATTTTACTGCAAAGCCTCGAACCAGAGCCAAGATCTGCGGGCAAAATGAAAGACCCCTTCTTCCTCGAGCCTATACCATGGCTCTCTGATTTGGTTCGCCCTCTGTCTCATCGGCTGGATTTGGTGACCCTACCGCTACATATCCACGAGGTGCTATTCGCCGCCCTGCTGTATTCCGTCATATTTTATCTCCTATCTCCAATTATGTCCCGAATCATCGCCCCGAAGCATTATCCCCGACTTTCTCGCAACAAACAACTCAACTGGGACGCTCACGTTGTTTCAATGGTCCAGAGCGTTTTCATCAACGGACTCGCCTTGTGGATCATGTGGGTAGATGAGGAACGCAGCAGTATGGACAGAGAAGGTCGAATCTGGGGATATTCTGGGGCGCCAGCTCTGCTGCAATCTATGGCCGTCGGTTACTTCGTTTGGGACTTTTTCGTCACTGCCATGAACCTGGATATTTTCGGCATCGGCACTTTGGCTCATGCAATCTCCGCGTTGACTGTCTTCGGTCTGGGATTCGTACGCTTCAATCCAAATACGAAGTATCGTTTCTATGATGCTAACTTCTGGTAGAAACCATTCGTCAACTATTACGCATGCAATTTCATACTCTACGAACTCTCCACACCATTCTTGAATATCCATTGGTTCTTGGACAAGGTCAACATGACTGGATCCAGTCTTCAGCTTTACAACGGTTTTGCACTTCTGCTCACCTTTTTCGCATGCCGGCTTGTCTATGGGCCCTACCAAACCTACAGAGTTTTCAGCGACATCTACGTTCTAAATGGCAAAAACCCGTCCTCGCCAGGTCAAGGAGTATTTGCTTTCGTTACGTCGCAAAGCTTCATTCCCAAGTGGCTTTCATTCACATATATCACCAGCAATGCAACGCTTACTTTTCTGAATGTATACTGGTTCTACATGATGATCTATGCTGTAAGGAAGAGGTTTATAAACCCTTGTACGGAGGACGAGAAGAAGGAGCGTGTCACCGAGGTCGAAATCGACGTGAACGCTTCCGCCTCTGGTGTCTTGTCGCAGGCAAAACCTCGTTCTCGTCGTGCTTAGGACACGTTTTATAAACCATGGCGGAAGTACGCCGTGCCATAATATATTTCTGCGTTTTCATGCTGCAGGGCTCGATATGTATGTCAGTGTCGAGGGACGGGCATAGCGATTTTCAGCTATTATGGTCGGTATAGCTACATTGTGAATAGCTCGGGCCTGGCATCGAGACATGCTTTTTTCATGTTCAGGGTACAATGCGTTCATGCATCGAATGTTATAGTGTTTCTCAACAGGAAACCTCAAATATCTGAAAGCAAAAAAAGATAAACTACAATAAAGGGCGCTTTCTGGGGCTATTCATCCTTTCTCTATACTGGCTGTCCCTGATTCAATGAATTTGTAATAGCAGGGATAAAGTACTTAAGAAGGGCTTGACGGACTCGATGCTGAGTAGAAAGCTAAAAGCCGAAAGGGTTCTGGGGCGCTGGAAAGTACCAAGCTGTCAGCATTACAGGTCAAAAAAGTAAAAAAAGAATATCGCACTGCGAGAAACTTACTAGCTTGCGCTAAGTTTGCTCGGCGCCCTGTCGGCTGGACGGTCAATTTTTTTGCATCAGTGACGCCAAAGCGGATAGGTGGCGGCGGCCCCGTCCTTTGCGGTTGAAGAGCTTGCGGGAGTTGAGAATTGAAAGAACTAAGACCAGTAATCTGTGGTTGCGGAATGGGAGGCATTCCAGTTCGTTGTGGTTCGAGGGCAAGTGGTAGGTAGTCGTTCACATTGGCTTGAGTAGCCATGCCCAATGATGACTGTGGCTGAAACTGAGGGGGGTAGGCGGTGTTTTGCGCTTGAAGAGGCGAAAATGGGCTGGGCTGGCTTGGGTCTTGAAAAGAGCTTTGTGTCGGGGCTCCTGTGTACATCGACTGCAAATATTGCGACCCCGTTTGGTACGGCACCGTACGAGGTTGGTTCGGCATACTACTGTACCCTACCATAGCCGGCTGCATCTGAGACGTATACTGCTGCTGAATTCGTGCCTGCGTGATATTATCCAGACTGTGGTTTGGTGGAGCGGCATGCCCCTGAACAAGACCAGTCATTTGCGCTGACCATGCTGGCACTGCGAAAGCACTTTGCTGCTGGGGAGCAGATATGGAACGCTGCGTCGGGGGAGGCGGGAGGGATCCTCCACCAGTGGGTATGGTTGGTGTTGGTCGCTGACGTGCAAGGGATTTCGGCGATGCAGGGCCGCCTGTTTGTGAACCTGATACAGAAGAAAAGAACGTAGGGCTTGCTCCTGGAGGTGCTTGAGCTTGTGAAGCTGATAAGGGGGAGGTTGATATTGCGGCAGTAGATTCTAGCTGCCGCACAGGCTCAGCCTTCGTCGGCTCTAGCGGTGCGCTAAGCATAGACAAATCTTTCATGGAGCCCGTAAGGCTGGGCATCATCGGCGCGGTGGCAGGCACAGGCTCAGCAAGCTTTGCACTCTTCTCAGTCTGCGGCTGCTTGCTGGGTTTCACCTCCCAGGCGTCGTCATCGAAGCCGCTCGAGGATCCCTTGAGTCCGCCTTGCATGCTAGTGCTAGCGGACGTAGCCTTAACACCATCTTCTATGTCCTTTGAGAAAGCCGTCGGATCAACGATGTCATCCGTCTGAACAGCCGGCGCAGGGCGGCTTTTCCGAGTATTGTTGCGGAGAGCGCCCCCGGGACCTGAGAACAGGCCTCCACTGCTGCTGTCACCCTCGGCAGTACGTTCCCGTCCAAATTTTGCGTCGAGAGTGCGCATTATCTTGATGATATCACCTTCTCGAATACCTAATGTTCGCAGAATGACAGCGTTGACATCAGGAAGGACGCTCTCATCCATGGAGTCTCGAATAAATGCTTGAGCATAACGTTCGCATAGTCCCACGGGTACGTCGCAAGAGAGAAAGAACTGGAACCAGTCATACTCCGGCTTTTTACTCTGTTCAAGTTTGGCGCCAGGGGCTTCACTTGGCCTGTTCAGATATTTTGAGCGCCGCACATCAGCAAGAGGCTTGTCGTCCTCTAGCGAAATGCCCGTGAGGTTCTCGACATATTCCAAATCCTGCCGTGACATCTTCGCAATAGGGACCGCAATCTTGACTCCATTCATTTTATGCAAATGGATTTTACCATCTCGAAGACCAAGAAACTGCGCTTCCACACTGAAAGATTTGGAGCGATCCGTCCAGGTGCGAACTTTGCTCGTATCAGGTTCTGTGAGAATGGCAATGTCAGCAATAGTTGTCGTCTTTCATAGGAGTGATGAGCGTACTCGATTTGCTCTTGGAAGAGTTGCCGTTTTCGCCACGGCCATTCTCGCGACGACTACGCTATCGGAAGCAGTTAGACTTGGAGTTGCTCCTGGCTTAAATGCTTCCATTGTCCAGCGGGATCGTACCTGTTGCGGCTCTTTGCTAGCCCTGAGAGCCTCTTTGGTGAGTCTCATCTCCTCCTGACGATTTTCTGCGACAGATGGCATGGCACTGCGAGTGCTAGAATCATCAAGGGGGGGTGTGACAGCGCCGATAATTTCAATGTAGCTGCTGGGAACGACGCCCTCCTTGCCATTTTTGAGCCGACGCAGCTGCCACCACTCTTCGCTCTTGGCATCATCCAGAATAATGACTTCATCACCCGCTGCGACAGTTACTTCATCCTGACCTTGGGCCATGAAGTCATACAAGACCTTTCCTTTGCGCTGATAGCGCTGTGTTCCAGCCATAATGACCTCCTTCAGACCCTCGGCTCGTACAGCAGCCGCCATTTCACCCAGTGCCAGAACGATTTCTTCCGCGGTATCCTTGGCACCAGCGTGAAAGTCAATACTCTTGCTGGGACGAACTAATTCCATAAAGACATGCTTTCCTTCACGTGAGTAGTGAGTCATTCTATCAGCGCTCCATTCCTGGGGGGGGGCATCCTGTGCTCGCTCTGGAGCAATGAGGAGCATGCCGGTTCCTAAGTTTATGCCCAAGGTCGTTGGCATCTTCTTTCTCTTGCCCATGACGGACACCATCTCGCTGATATTATACATATGAAACCCACCGGGTGTCCTGTCAATTTGAGGGCCATTGCGTTCGTTGGTATCCGGCATACCACAGTCATCAAAGTCGCTTCGAGTGTGCGTGGGCTTTGTTGGCCTGGGACGGGATGGTAAGGCTGGTGACTTGATAAATTCTTCATCAGATGGTGCCGACGGTTCGGATACAGACTGAGCGGGGGTGGTAGCAGGCTTAATCGTCGCAGCCCGTCCCTGCAAGACGCCAGCCAGTGCCGACGCTGGGCCCGCAAACTTGGGGCTCGAGACCGCGATGTCTTCTACCACATCTAGCTCCATTGCGGCGGAGCGAGACCGTGCCGGTAGAGCCGGAGGCGACGTTTGAGTAGCCCCATGGTCTGTAGTATTTTCTGATTGCAAGTCTATGTAGTTCGCTGGGACAAACCCAAACTCATCGTCTAGTCCGACAAGAATCCAGTCTGGGTCAGAAGTATCGAACACATCGAGTACAGCTTCTTCGTGGAATGACAGCTCTTCGTCAGTTTGCCGAGTATACTCGTAAATGGCGCGGGCTTGGGTCAGCGTTGGGGCCTGTAGAAATCATGGAATTAGCACATACTGCCTCAATCGATTTCGACAGCTTTGATCTATCCGAGTCGCTCATACTATTTCAACATAGTTGTGAGGAATGAGACCTGTGGGCTCATCCTCCTCGTCGGCGCCAGCTTTCTTTTTAGCTTTCCACCAGCCATCATCGTCATTCTTCTCAATGACGTAGAGCAAATCTCCCTCACTGATGGCAAGCTCGCCCTCAGATTGTTGCTGGTAGTCGTAGAGGGCCCGATAAACTCCGAGAAACCCCATGGCGCGGTCGGGTGCCCCGGTAAATAGGCAATGCCAGACTGAGTGGTTTCGTCAAGGCCCTATGGAACAAGCAAGCCGGTCGTGAGGCGTTGGAAGGGTTATACGATCAAAGTATACGTAGTCTGTGGGACATGAGCAGCGCAAACGTTTGGTGAGAGAGAACAACTCAACGAAATATTAATGCTTGGCCGCCGCCCAACTCGATGGGTAATAGTTTGGTCTTGGTGAGGTAAGCAGTTAAAGGTGGAATTAGGTAGGTATGCAAGTATGCTCAGGCTCGCATGCTCCCCCCCCTGCCTGAGTGATGTTCCAGTTTTAACGTGACGCGTCCCACCGCCCCCGGTGATGTCACTAATTAAGAAATACAAGAAAGACGTCGCCGGCCTGCTCCCCCAACATTGGCCGTTCTCAACCATGGCCGTTTGTTCCCCTTTTCATATGGTATTAGAAACACGAGGCTTACCAAATTTTTCTACAATTACCTCATTCCATATATAGTATTTTCTGTGCCGAAGAGTCTTATACTAAGCCGTGATTTTTTCGCTATTCGTGATAGGTTCTAGACTTTATATAGATAAGTTACTACCTACTAAAATCAAGATATAATATCATATAAAAGGTTAGTTCTTCTTTTACCTTATATAAATATATATACTTCTTATTAATATTTATTAAACTAAATATAAATAAAGATTTTTTATAAAGATTTTAACTTATAAAGATTTATTAGATCTTTATTTTACTTATAAAAAGTTAATAGACTTTTGTCTTTTATAAAAAATACTTTTAAAATAAAAATTCTATATTTTAAAGCATTTATATTTATTATAAACTATTATAAGCTTATTATAAAAAAGAAATAAACCTCTCTTATATTTAATTATTTAATAACTATAAAGAAGTTAAATTATCATTATTAATTTACCTCTACTATCTTATAAGATACTAGATACCTCTATAAAATTAATAATATAGGAAAAACTATTATTTAAGATAGCTACTTTTAAGGCTTTACTACCTTTAATCTATATTTAACCTAAGTAAAAACCTATACTTTATACCTTTCTATATAATATTTATAATTCCTAATAAAGGTTACTAGTTATTAATATAATAATATTCTAATATTAATTTCTTAAACTATATTTTAATATATATATATATATATATTATTATTATTATTATTTCTTTAAAATATTTATATTATTAAATATATTTCTTTATTTTTATTATATATATATATTTAAGTCTTTTTTAAATCTTTAACGATTTATATTTATAATAATTATAATATAATATTTAATATATTTTTAATTTAAAAGTTAGATATAATATATATAATTAATCTATAAAAGATATAAGGTAAGGTAACTATAGGTCTAATTAAATATAAAAAGTTAAATAATATATATTAACTACTATATTACCTTAATATCTTATAATATAACTATAGTTAAAATTATCTAAATACTAAAGATTATAACTATAAAGGAAATAATAATAAAAAGACTTATTAACTACTTAAAGATATATATAAATAATATAGATTTTTAATATATTAATATAAAATAATTAACTAATTAATAATATAAGATATAACCTTAGATAGTAGATTAATATTTTACTTATAAAGAATATTAATTATTAATAAATACTAGGAATTATAATATTATAATAAATAGCTAGTATATAGAAGAAGAGGTATTTACTTAGAGTAGTACTATATAGACTACCTATTTTTACTATATAGACGAGCCTTATATAATAGTATATATAGATCTACTAAAGGTATATAGTCTTTTATATATCTTCTATATAAGAGGAGGTACCTTTTAGAAGATATAATATATCTTACTAGTCTACGTGTCCTTACTACCCGCCGCCGCCGCTGCTATAAGATATAATATATTATTCACAGCGATAATAGTGGCGATGACAGCGGCGATAGTAGCGGTAATAAAAGTGACGTTATATAGCCTAATAATTATATTAATAGTAGCAGATTTAGGATATTATAAGGTACTAGTAGACTAGTAGCAGCGTTATGTTAAAGCTAATAGCAGAGATACCCTGCCTAATATAAGGGTACCTTTATAGTACCTCCTTTTATATAGAAAATGTTAGCTAAATTAGGTACCTTATAAGTATAGGCGGGGGTATATTATATAAGGCTTGTCTACGTAGTAAGAATAGGTGGTTTATATAGTACTACTCTTTACTTAAATTAGGTCTATATCTAGTATAATAAAGTATTAGTATAGCTTAATTATACTTTTTTCTATTTTTAGGAAAGATAGAAGTATTAGATAGGTTATAAGAGTTTAACTAAAGTAATTTAATTAATATATATTTAATAATATATTTTTATTTTTATTTAATTTTATAATTACTTCTCTTTATATTTTCTTTATGTTTAAATGTTTTTTATATATTTATTTTAATCTTTTATAATCTTACTTCTAATATATTAGACTTTAAAGAAACTAGATAAGCTAGTAAGGAATAAAAAAATACTTTAAATAAGATTTAAATCTATAATCTATATACTAATTTATATAAAACTCTTTAATATAAAACTATTATATTATAAAAATAAAGAAGTTTAATTAGATATTATATAAAATAGATTATTATTATTAAAATCATTATTTATAATTTTTAATTTATATAATGTTACTTAGTTACTTTAAAAGTTATTATTATTATAAATATATATATATAGTATATTTAAGTAATTCTACTTATAACTTAAACTCTATTAAAATACTTACTTTTTAACTACTAATACTATAAAAGCTAGTATTTAAATCTATTTTTAATAGCTATAATTAAATTCTTTAATAGTTAAAGTATATATAATTATTTTTAGAAGATTTCTTTAAAGCTTTAATAGATTAGTATATTTAAATAAAAACTTAAGAAATAAAACTTTATTAAATAATGACTAGCTTATTAAAATAAATAAGAATAAAAGTAATTTCTTATTTTATACTTTAAATACTTTACTATTTTTAGATACTTATTATATAATCAATATAGAAGGTAAATATATTAAAACCTTAACCTAAAAAGTAGGTATTTTAGTTAGATTTCGAGTTACGAGCGGAATTACTTCTGACCTACTGTATATATATATATATATATATATATATTAATATAGAAGTAAAGAAACATATAAGCTTTTATAGGATTCTATGCCTACCTAAAAATCTTCAAGTAAAGGCCAGAACCAGGCCTCCGAGCTATCAAGTAGGTAGAGCTGACAGGGTAGGATAGTATTATAGATACTCGAATAGCACTATGTGAATGGAGAAATACATAATCAGACTATTGCTAGCTATACTCTTTTTGAGTGTTCCAACCATGCTCCGATCTACCTCGATGTTTAATGTGCTAGTCGGTATTCTCTTCCGATTACTTGAGTACAGCTTGCTTACGGGCTGGACACTTTAGGTAGCGTCTGAGAGTACGGTTCACCCTGCATAAGTATAGTTGGTTGTCTGGTACATCGGAGAACAGCACCATGGACGTCTTCATCTACCAGTAATTGTACAGCTGTATCAAAACGCTGGATACGAGACCAAGTCTCGTACTCCATGCATAAAAATACCTGACAGACGGTGAAATGCTACGCCGAATTACTGTGGCAACGAGTGAGCCAAACACAATAAATGACTGGGTTGACCAGATAGGAATTCTGCATGTTGAAAGAATCGGATGACATCGTCGAGACTATGATGAAAGTACGCATGATGCATTATCGCTGTATGAGCGTGCTCGTTTTCAAATAATTGCGAGCGCCGAGAAGAAACCTCATGTACCACGTTTAGCTAGCGGACATGCCAACCTTGTCATTACTGTTTGCAGAGTTTTCCTGGCTTTGGCTTAGACTCTTCAGGCTGCCAATGTGATGCTCTCTAGCCAGAATACCAGGAAACAAGCGTGGGTCGCTGCCAGTAAGGCGCAAGTCTGTAGAGCTATCGGAATGACGGGCATCCTCGCCGAATGGCACGCCATGCTCTGTACCCAGCTTGCCAAGTGGACCAGTGTTGTTTGACAGGGACGACAAAACTTGCGAGCAGCTATGCGCTGATGCCTGATTGTTGGGTTTTTTGAGCATGCCGGAGTCGTTATTAGCCTCATATGCCGAGAACCGTCGAAGTCTATGAATTGTTAACCAGAAAAATGTACTGAGGCTTCTATGTTTCACTCACACGTCTCTTTCTTGCACGAGTGTGATATACCGAAACTCTGCCCGACGATCTGGTACGTTGGTTTTCACCATTTTGTTGCCTTCCTTACCAGGCTTCTCAAAATCAGGGCCGAGCCATTGTTGCTTGATTGCTCGCTCATAACCGCTCTGTTTGACCGAATTCTTTGCTAATTCGCACATGTCCACTGAGCTCAGCTTACAGATTTGAGCTGCGACTGCATATTCCTCAATGAGCGGTTCTTTTGTGAAGGCGAACTGAAGTGGATCGTCTGTTGAGAGTGACACATTAAGGCCACGTTTGAAATACTGGTGGAAAGGGTTTCTCTCATATGAGAGGAACAATGCATTGTTGCTCAATGGTGACATAGCCATGCCGATCTGCTCCAGATAAAATATATATTGGAGCAACGGCACCTTTCGGAGCAAAAGACCGTGACTGATGCTGTGACAGCACAGAGCAGCAACAGCTAAATGTTCACTGTCACCAGCTTCGCCACAGTGAGGCCGAAGTGTAAAAGTGTTGAACCCACGTTTCTTTCTCCAGAAGTTCAGGGAAGCCATGTTGGCAAAAGTGTAGTAGATCCAATAGCTGTAGGGTGGGTTCTGCGCGCCGTCCCATTCTCTGGGAACTGGAAACTTGCGAAAGAGTCGGCGTTCGACTTTACTTTCGTCGTCAACGCTATCAAACCCGATAACACGCTGAAGGAAAACATGTAGCTTTGGGTGACTTGCTGGGTCTTTTGTGACTTCGAACAATGGCTGGAACAAGTTCTTGATGACTTGTTCGAACGAATCCATGAGGCCACTGCCCTTGTAAACATCGTATAGACGAGGAATTTGAATGAGCCAGCGAACATTGTGGGAGAAAAGCTTGTTATCCACCACCCAAGCAGCTAGCTTATCCCATTCATCAATAGATTTGCCGTAAATGGAAATACGCCACTCAACCATTTGATACTTGCTGGACTCGAGATCTTCGATAACTTCTTTCGTGATTTCTGCCAGATACCGCCCGTGAATGAAGTTGTCAGTCTTCAAGAAAATAGTTCTGAGACGAGACTCTCCGATAGGATTATACTTGAGATTGAATTTGTCGAATCGGTGGAAAGAATCGGTGTGGGCCTAGAGGGTGGAAGTCAGTCTAGTTCATCGCGCTTCAATGAATGGTCTCTTGACTTACGTGCATGTCAAGAGTATCGATGCTTAGATCGTAAGCGGTGAGATTGATGCTAGCAAAAACTTCGGCCAGGGTAAGGTGCTTTCCATCCCTATATAGAACCACCTCATTAGGATATTTCTTCATCTTACTCTTTATAAATCGGAGCAGATGCTTCTGGTTCATGCAAGCAGAGTGATGAACGTGGGTGTCAACTTTTCGGACATTGTAAAAGTCTCTGTGAGGAACTTTCTTGCTGTCTGCGGTTTCCTGGTACTCGTTTAGAAGAGCGTACAGGTTGAATTTGCCCTCTAGGTACTGCAATCTTCGAAATGCGAAGCTTTTGCTCGGACCATCAGACGAGACTTTCAAGATGGACTCCAGGTCCATGTAGAATTCTCTGATAGTCGGAATTCTGATGGCGGGCTCCGTAGCAGATTCATTGTCTAGGATCTGATAGACACCGTTTGAATCTAGCTCAAAAGTACAATCGTCGTCTCCCGGAAGAGGCATTAGATTATCCATGTCAAATTCCTGGCTGGAATCGTTCGCAGATGTTGCGTTGTGTCGCGCAAAGCGGGAATTAGCGTGGCTAGCCTCCCTCCACGCAGGCTCTGGAGGTGGTGGGTAAATTTCCCAATCTTCACTATCTCTGGGGTTATCATCCGGGCCTTGTGAAGACAGCATAACATAACGGCGACGCAAATCAACGATTTTCTGGATGTCTCTTGTAATAGCGGCCAGCTCAGACGTGACATGCGGCTCTGTATCGAGAAAGCTATTGCTAGCAAGGCCTGAATTCGACACGCCAGACATGCACTGCTCTTGAAGTATAGCACTAGCTTGTACAGAAGACATTGGTACATGGCCAGCGTGAATACGGTTCATGGGTAGTTCTTGAGAGGACAGGTTCTCTATAACGAAGGAGCGATTAATCAATGCCTCTTGTTGCTTAAGGATAGAACGTACCACCATCTTGCTCCAGGATGAGGGAGTCGGCACCGTAATCCGTCGCCGATCGAGAGCCAGCTTGGATTGAAGGGCTTTGCTGAGGCGTTTTCTCTACCCACTCGTTGCTATCGCCTCTCAAATCAATCTGACTACGTTGGTAGAACAGCTTTGCATCGGTCTGGGTCATCTGACGTTCGGCAACAGGATCGTAAAACGTGGTCCTCTTTGGAACATCACGAAGGAGCATCCCTTCTTGCAGCTCCTCTGCCTGAGTGGGGTCTATTGCCTCGGGTGCTTCACCAGCTGGCTCTGAGTCTGCATTGCCGTGGCTCGCTGTCTCATCATCCTCCCAGTCAGATTCGCGCGTGTGCACCTGAAAGGGCAATGCACTGCCCTTGAATCGTGAGTGCTCGCCTGCGATGGCATCTATACGTTAGGAGTCGGAAAAAATTACATCAATACTCAGCACCTACCAGCCATCTCGCAAAGTCTTGCGCACTGTAGCTCAAGAGTTGTGGCGTTTAGGAATTAAGTCGGTCATGAAATATTTCATATGCCTCAAACGTGACCAGAAAACTGCTACAAGACAGGTGTGCGCCTTGTTGAGTCTCTCGATGTCTGTCTTCGCTTCCTGCACTGTTTTTCTCCTTCCTCTAGTTTCTGATTGTTTGGACTGGCCTGTGGTTTTTCTGGTTTTGATAGAAGTATCGAGGTTAAAGCCAGTAAGGCGAAATGGTAGAATTTCAACAAAAAGTGATACTGTAGGATAAATGACTCATGGGTCAGAGTAAAGATAACAAATGCTAGGTGAAGCAACAGAGGTTTGGGGAAGCCTGATGTCGCAGTGGATGAAATAGTTAGCCTGGATATCCAAGTGAGAAGGGTGTGGGGTTGGTGGATATTTTAGCAGCGTCCGAAGTCAGTTGTCGGTACTCCGTACACGGAGGTTGCCTATATCCGATACTATGTATCAATGGAAGCGGTCAATATGACTTTATACATTCAGACACCTCGGGTAACGGGGATAGTCTCTAGCCATTGTATTCATTTTATCAACCGTGGGTCAATTCCTATACTATGCAAAGACTACTATTCAATTATTCTTCTTTGATCCTGCGTTCTCCGAGGACGATTTCGCAAGATTGCTTTTGGAGTCCAATGTGTATATTGCCCCGCCCCCAAACACTAGCAAGGCGCCGATGACTGTCCCAACAGCTAAAGTATTATCAAATAGCCAGATGCTGAGCAGTAGGCTCACCAGTTTCCGAACGTTGAGGACAATGGTAACAGTCAAGGCAGATGACGCCGCCGCTAGCAGATTTACTCCTCGAATACATGCGTACTGCGTCAGAATATTCGCTGCAACATTGACCAGCTGGCTGGGTACACGAAGACCGAAGCTGCGATATAGGATCATTGGCTGAGAACTGGAAAGAGAGCGATATGTACGCAGTATGGATGGTGCGAATGGCAAAAACAACGGCAAGGAAAGAAGATGGGAATAAAACAAATTCTCTCGCCACTGCGGTCCGTACACTCTGTACGTTGCTTCTGTGTATAAGCCCATGATGGCAGAGAGAACTTGGGCGACGAATAACATAACAAGTCCTGTGCCGAAGGCGGGTTCTGATGAAGATTTAGGCTTTGACTAAAATACAATGTCAGTGTCGATCTGAAAGCTGCCAACTTTTATCTGACCTTAGCTGATGCGTCGGACCAAGCTGCCTGAATGACACCAATACTGAGTAGCATTACAGACATTATTTGTGTTTTTGAGTACCGTTTGCCGTAAATGTAGCCTGCAACCATGGTCGTTATACTGCCTCCAGATCGGATAATGATATGAACCGGCACAGATATATCGTAGCTGAAGGCATGATTGTTTAATACATTGATAGCGAAGAACAAAACGATGTTGACAGCCCATCGAGTAAAAGGAACTTTCGTCGGTGCCAGAAAGAACGGTGGCCGTTTAGAATCAAACTGAGACATATAGCCTGTTATGGCGACGAACGAAAACTGAACGAATGTGAGAAAAGTGCCTATTGGCAATTAGAAGCCAATCGACAGCAGCAGATGGAATACGGCTCTTACCACTTCCTGATTCAAAACTAAGTACATGGTGATTAGTCATTGCGCGTCCGCAGTAGTATACACGCCTTACTTGATGATTGACTCCAGTGCATAGACCTAAAACACTTCGTTAGAGGGCTTGTAGGGATACTCGGCCAGTAGTTTCTCGGCTCTTACGTTTGAGCAACAGCCACCGAACACAAGCCCGAGCATTGCAAGTGCAGCGACGGCAGAAAGGCCAACATCAACATTGGAAGTAACAGGTGCTGGAATGTCATTGTTTTTCGTTGAGCGCTTTTGGACGCCATCCTCGGCATCATGAGGGCGTCGAGTGTCTCCCATTGTCGCTGTGGTGATTTGCAGGTCTGATAAGCTAAAGTTGAAACGTGGACATACAGTGCATCCAAATAATTCCACTCGCGACCTAAGACCCCACTAAAATACCTACTTTTAAACTGCTAATATTATAAAAATAAGTACCTAGTATTTATTTTTAATTATTATTATTATTTTTAATTATTATTATTATTATTATTATTTTTAATTATTATTTTTAATTATTATTATTATTATTATTATTATTATTATTATTATTATTATTATTATTATTATTATTATTATTATTATTATTATTATTATTATTATTATTATTATTATTATTATTATTATTATTATTATTATTATTATTATTATTATTATTATTATTATTATTATTATTATTATTATTATTATTATTATTATTATTATTATTATTATTATTATTATTATTATTATTATTATTATTATTATTATTATT